GTTTTAGCTTGTAGCTAGTGTTCTGCATCTTTTGACTTTTAACATTTTTGTTTTAGCTTGTAGCTTTAATGTTTGACTACTTTTTGGCTATTTTAGCTTGTAGTTAGTTCTGGTTTAGCTTGTAGTTATAACGTTTGGCTACTTGCCTCTATTTAGCTTGTAGTTAGTTCTATTTTAGCTTGTAGTTAGTTCTGGTTTAGCTTGTAGTTATCTCTGACCAGATAAATCAGTTGTTTTATTTCTCTCCTTTAAACAGATTTTCACTTGCTCTAAAACAATAATAATTAAAAAAACATATCTTTAGTTTCAAAACAAGATTTTTCTTTATTTTAAGCAGGAGCTGCTAATAGATTTTAGCTCTCGTGTTAAATTAATGTTGGTTGTTTCTAAAAGGTGATGCCATTAATGATCTGCAGGGATTTTTTTTTTTTTTTTAAGCAGAGCTAAAAACAAGTTTTGCTTCTGGAAAAGTTGAGATGTGTGGACGTGAGGAAACAAACAAACAAACAAACAAACAAATGTTTTCCTCCACAGAAGCTGTTTGGTTTGGAGGAACACGGCGTCGCCTCACAGTTTAATCAGCTCGGCAGAAGTGACGTAAGAGCAAAACAACATTATTTTAGTTGGAAAGTGTCTGTCATGTCCAAACAGGAGCCAGGCTCATAAAGAGGCTCCTTTTCCCCACAAATATATTTAACTTGGGCTGGTTGGGTGAGCCAGTGGAAAGAAAACAACCTGCTGACTGTAAACAGCTCAGGTAAACAACTCTGAGGACGGAGAGGCCTTTCTGCAGAGTTTAAAGGGCGTGTGACATCAAATTTTTGTAATAAATATGAGAGCATTTTTGGAAAGACAACATTAATTGCACACTAGAAAACAATTTTCACTCCRCTGGGATGAACGCTTGTTGAGATATTTGCATGTAAAATAACAGGAAGTGATGTCAAAGGGGAGTGTCTGCATGTGAACAGAGTCTTATTAAAACAGCTAACAACACAGATTGTAGAGAATTATTTTTTTTATTATTTTGAGTCACTGTCAGGGACAGATATTATTTCAATAAATAAACACCAGAGAGTTCATTTTCTTAAATATTTCCCCTTTGAGGTCACTTCCTGTTTTACTTTTGCCGAGCTAAGTTAAAAAAAAAATAAGCCAATTATGGGACAAAATGGGCAAAATTTTGTGTATTGTGTCAGATTTCAAGATGTTTTCTTTGACTTTTTGTATGGAATATGTCACAGCTGCTTTAAGGTCCAGGATTTTTTTCTACAAACTAAAATAAAACGTATAATTTTAGCTCCAAACAGCCTTTTCTTCTGAATGATTCAGTTTTCTGCTGCAAAAACAAACAAAGCTGTTTTTTCTTTTCTTCTGTTTTTCTCTGCAGAGATGAAGTTTCCTCTGAGTTGCAGGAACAAAGAGCTGTTTTTACAAAAAAAAAAAAAAAAAGGCACCCGGATCAGGGAGCACAAAGAGCGGGCCCGTGGAGGAGAACTCCGGATCTTTGTGGAGGTATTTGTCATGTGATCTCTTCGACTCACCCCCCCACACACACTCACACACACACACTCACACAATCACACTCACACACACACACACACACACACA